GTGCGGAGGGGGACTGAGAAAATTCTAATATAACAGGTACATTTCCTAAAACAGGTACATTTCCTAAAAAACATCCTGGTTTGGCTTTGACTTACTAGTAATAGTACCAATAAAAAACATGTAAAATTTTTAAAAATTAAAAAAGGCATTCAATCAGGGGCAAATTCAACATAAACTTCTGGGATATAAAGCAGGCAGATCCCAAGCCCTGGGAGCTACAGTCGAGATTAACTAATCAATAAAGAAGTTCCATAGCGCCAGCTGCCGTGCCTGGGCCCCGTGCGCCAAAGTAGTCCAGACCTGGAGGGAAAAATGTAAAACCAAAATGGAGGAGGGGCTACGGCAGAGTCGGCTCCGGAGCAAAAACCTCGTGGCTCGCTTCTCATGGCGCCAACCAGCCTTCCTGCTCCGCTCTCCCTGACCCTAGGAGGCATCATCCCACCTCGCCAAACCCAGCGCGCAGCACCTATTTCTCGCAGGCTCCCCTTGAGGAGCCCGGGCACCAAATGAACTTGTTAAACAGTAGGGTAAACAAGTAGCCACATCTTAAAGGCAGGCGAGCAAAGAAAAATATCTGAGCGGATTCTACCCTTCTCCACCTGCAGAAAAAGCCGCGGGCAAAGCTAGGAAAGCATATCCCTAGTCTCTCCTTGCCTTGCTGAAAAAACAAAGAAAGCAGGCTCCTAAAGGAGTCAGACACCCAGAGAACGACCTCCTTCCGAGGATGCAAGACGCGTACGGCCCCAGACATCTAAGAGCATGGGGCCAGCACAACTTTCTCATTGAAGCCGACCGCGTTTCCTCTTAAAACCCCCCAAGAAGGGAAGCCCCGACTATGATCATTTCACTGATGTCACCTCGCCGATATGGCTCTCGGGATTCTACCCGAAAACCTCTGCAGTCCCCGGCACCGGCGTCCAGCCCAAGTGGGGCTCCCCTTCCCCAGGACGCCGCCTCACGTTCTCGCAGCCCTCCCGGTCGGGCTACCCGGCTCGCTCCGCCCCGGCACCGGGGTTGCGTCGCCGGGCGAGCACATCAACGCCAGGCCGAGGGAAGACGGGTGTACCGGGGATTCGTAGAGGACCCCGCTTAAAGCCCTCTTCCCCACGACGGACTTGCAAAACAATAAGCATCCGATTTCTCTGCCCCTCCCCCATAGGACACCGGCCACGAATTACCGCCGCCGGGGAGCGTGCCAGCCCTGTGATCGGTGGCCGGAGTACCCCTGGAACCTCAGATGGCCCGAGTCCCCGGCCGCCCATCCCTTGCCGCGGCGCCCGGAGTCTGCGCGGGGAAGACTCTGCACTGGAGCGCGGCCAGCAGCGGAGGCGCGCGGGCCACGCGGTGGCTGCAGGAACTGACATGGCCCGCGGCCGCCGGCCACATGCGGCGCCGCCGGGCTCCGGCCGGGGTGGGGAGAGGTGGGGAAGAGAAGAGAGCGCGGCCCCGGGGTCCCGCCGTACCTTGCCGCTGGCCGTGCCCCCGCTAACGCCGATCAGGAAGGGCTCGCCGCCGTTGGGCTGCTGGTGGTTCTGCAGGGTCTGCTCGCTGTCCCCAGCCATGGCTCGCGCCGCCCCTCCTCCCGCTGCCTGTGCGAACGGACGCACGCTCCCCGCCCGCGCCGGGCTCCCTCCGCTTCCCGCAGCCTCCGCTGGGCGCTGCCCAGGTCGAGGCTGACGCGGCTCCCTCCGCACCGCTCGGATCCTGGTGCTAGAGCTGGCTTTCCCGGAGGAGCCGAGAGCCTTCCTCTGCCCGCTGCGGCCGCCCCGGTTTACATCCCAGGCAGAGGTCAGCGTGATGCTGCTGCTCCAATCCGGGCGGACAGCGCACTGCTATTCGCCGAGGCAGCGGCGGCGAGGCGTCTGCCCCAGCCTCCGCCCCTCCCGGGCCCCGCCGCCGCCTGGGGTCTCTGGGAAAGGTGTGAGCCCGACCCTTCTCCCAACCCGCCTGGTTAACCCTTTCCGCGACGACGACCTGCGGCGGGAGCAAGGGAAAAGAAAGGAGCCTTCTGCGTTTCAATTGGGTATGCTCCCACCTATTTCAAAAGGGATAAAAAGCTAAAAGGACAGATCAAATAATGGAGGAGATGCCTCAGGTTTGAGAAGCAAAATTAGAACAAGCTTGGAAGGTTAAGATGAAACAAAGAGTTAATGTCATTTACCCATCATCCAGACTAAAAACTTGTGTTCCGAAAATGAGATTTCTTTTTCCCCTCCCGTTTGCCAAAATAATGTGTCAGCCGCTGGCTTTAAATATTTCCTCTCTTGGAAACCCCCAAACACCATCCTCCTTAAACGGCGACTCTCTGGAGTCCTTCCTAGAGAAAGGTAATTTGAGGAGCTCATCTGAGGGAAGACCTCCCTCCTAATATCAACGCCCTTTCTAACCGTAGTTTGAAATCCCAAACACTGAGGTTCCTGTGGAGTTAGGGCTGTGGAAACGTTAAAATAATACTTAATGTCACGCTGACTTATTAATACCTTTAAGTGAACTGGTTTTTCAGAGATGGGGAATTAGGCACTTGGTTACAAAGGCAGTAGCTGCTGATGACTCAGAACAGCGCCACCTCTGGAGCCAGATTTCTGCATTGCCTTGCAGTTCCCTGAGCAAGTTAATCTCCCTCGCTCAATGTTCTCATCTGTTAAGTGGGAATAATAATGGCAGTTACATGCTAGGATTATTATATTAAATGAACTATTGTATTTAAAGTACTTAACGTAGTACGCTTCACAGGTACAAGACCCTATATAAATGATCTATGAGGAAAAGTCCCTAAAGGGCTGAAACTGGAAAGGGAAGCTTCGTTTGGGCACAGGGGAGAGAGGGAGGACTAGACTAGTCACAGCCGCTGCCCCTGTGAACCTGGGACTGGTATAAATGAGCTGATGGGGGCCCTACAGGCTAAAGGAGAAGTTAAGTCTATAGCATTCTCTTTCAAAACTTAGTGTTACCTAAAATTCAGAATTATTTTGAAAAAAAATTACTAAAGAAAATTGAGTATTAGAAAAAACAAATGTTCGCTTCACTTTTTAAATATTTCAGGTAACCATCCAAAACCAAACTCCACAGAAGCTCAGACAGGAAACTAAGCTGGGGAGAGCAGCTACCCGGTACCCAGAGGCAGGCATTTGGGAGAGGTTAGCTAGAAGGGTGCCTTATCAAATGCCTGTGGGGTGGGTGAGTTTTAGCTGATTCATGTGTCTGCTTCTCCTCCAAGTTTTTCTCCACTAAAAAGATAAGATCTTCAAGGACTTTTGCAGAGCTCTTCACAGCCCAAGACACGACTTTTGGAATTTGGAAGTTGATGGACTCATAGCTAAGGGGATATTAGGTAGCTGAGAGGAAGAAGAAGAGGATAAAACACTGCCATGTCCTCCATGAACTTTCCCCAAATCTCTGCTTTTTTTTTTTATCATTCCTATAACTTTTTTCTACAATATTTTATCATAAGAATTTTCAGACCTACAGTTGAAAGATTTTACAGTAAACACTGATATAGCCACCACCTAGAGTCTGCTGTTAACATTGTACTATACTTGTTTCATCACACTAGTTGTCTACCCATCCTCTATCACATTTTTATTATTTTTATTATAGTTTGTTTCCCTTTGTTACTCCAAACTGGTTTATACATTTCTTGCTTTGTCTGTCTAGTTTTTTTTTTAATCTTTTCTTTTTAAATTAATTTAATTAATTTATTTATTTTTGGCCGTGCCGCGTCTTTGTTGCTGAGCAGGGCCCACTCTTCGCTTCGGTGCGCGGGCTTCTCATTGTGGTGTCTTCTCTTGCTGCAGAGCACGGGCTCTAGGCACGAGGGCTTCAGTAGTTGTGGTTCGTGGGCTCTAGAGCGCAGGCTCTGTAGTTTTGGTGCACGGGCTTAGTTGCTCTGCGGCATGTGGGATCTTCCCCAACCAGGGCTCAAACCCATATCCCCTGCATTGGCAGGTGGATTCTTAGCCACTGTGCCACCAGGGAAGCCCCTGTTTGTCTGTTTTTAACTACTATATCCCTAGCACCTAAAACAATTTCTGAGGCATAGTAGGACCTTCATAAATATTTGTTGAATGAATGGACACCATATCTCATTTCTACATTCCCAAGGCCCACAGAGCAAGATAATTGGAAATAGGAAGCACTCAATACATGTTTGTTGAGTGAATGGTTGAATGAATGAATGAACAAATATGAAAGAGGTAAGAAAATACCAACAAGTAAACTTCACTTCCACCACTTTGGAAGGAAATGTGGTTTTCCCTAGATTGTATTTATGTGGTTACTATTATTTCTGAATGTTTTGTTTTCCTGGCATTCCAAGTAACTGTCTACCTCTAATCCTAGTACGTGCATCTATTAACTAGTTAAACTAACTCATCAACTGAGCTAACTCATTACACTTATCTGCACCCTGTTTAATAAAAATAATATTTGACATGAGTTAATATACATAAAAGTGCTCTGGGGACTTCCCTGGTGGCACAGTGGTTAAGAATCTGCCTGCCAATGCAGGGGACACAGGTTCCATCCCTGGTCCGGGAAGATCACACATGCCGCGGAGCAGCTAAACCTGTGCACCACAGCTACAGAGCCTGAGCTCTAAAGCCTGCAAGCCACAACTACTGAGCCCACGTGCCACAACTACTTTAAGCCCACGTGCCTAGAGCCCGTGCTCCGCAACAAGAGAAGCCACTGCACACCACAACGAAGAGTAGCCCCCGCTCACCACTAGAGAAAGCCCGCGCGCAGCAACGAAGACCCAACACAGCCAAAAATAAATAAATAACTTTAAAAAAAAAAAGTGCTCTGAAAAAGAACAAAAGCTATCTATATAAAGGCCTAATCCAGCTGCACTCTGCACTCCCTGTTTTCACTTTGCTGTTTTTTCTTTATTCTGTCTCTAGGGCAGGCTCACCTACACATAAGGAAGTTCCCCTCGTCCATTTAAATTATTAAGAGTATTCTCAGCACTGGTGACCTGAGCAAGGACTTTTGCATCTTTGCTCTCTAAAAAGCAAGGCAGGCTGTCTGTGCTATTCCCTGTGCTGTGTCATCCTCTCTTGGGAGCCTGGTCACCAAATCCCACAGCTAGGGATGTTCAAATCATGTTTGAGCCTCCTCTAGCAATTACACTGCAGATTCTGGATTAAGTAATTTCCAGATGCCCTCTTTCCCCTCCCACTAAGAAAAAAAAATCAAACATTTTCAATAAAATCCAAAGCTAGAACAGATTCAAGGGAACACATTTTCTCAGTATCTGTGAGAATTTTTTTTAATACAAATTCAGATTTCAGTCTGATCAAGCTCTGGCCTAGTTAACATTTGGAAATGAAGTCAGCATGAGTGTGCAACTATAGCTGTAGCCAAAGAAGGAGAAAAAACCTTGCTGTTGACAGTCCTCTATCTGCCTGCCTTCTCTCTTTAAAGCAGCTATAGTTCTGAACTAGACAAGCAACCTTACATTTTGCCTCCAGCTGACAAATGCTACCTCTAGGTGCTTCATGCACCATAGCTAACTCTCTAATTGCTTATCACATTTCCCAACCAGAAAAAAAATGTTCTCACACTTCAGTATGTCTTCTGCAGCATGTTAGTTCCCTGTTTTGCCTTTTCCAACTACCTCCTGCCTTTTGTCAATCAGCAATTGCTTTGACAGGTCATAAGTACTGTTCTGAAAAGGTGACCAGATGATATGAAAGCAACTTCAGCATCTGGCTCTGTGATCTTAATCAATCCTGTTCTCGAATACTGTTAAGCAGCAGGATATAGCACAGTCTCAGAAAGAGCAGCTTCAGTAGCCTCGGAAGGCAAATCCATGGGCCTCACCCCAGAGGTAATAAACCTGAAACTCTGTGGGAGGGGCCAAGCAATTTGTCTTTCGTAAACCCTCCACCTGACTCTAGTGCCCACCAAAGTTTGAGAACTACTGACTTAGTGGAACAAAGACAGTGTGAGCTCTAGTCAGAAAAGCAAGCTTTACATCCTTGCTTTGTTACTAACTTTTTAACCTTTGGCAAGTTACTTACTTTCTATAATCCTTGGTTTCCTCAACTGTTAAATGGTACCTGGCTCATAGGATGGTTGTGAAAATAATGAATCTATATCGGTATGCATATAGTGGTTGTTAAATATCATTTCTCTTTCCCTCCTATTTCTGTCACAGGTCCCTGATTATTGCAAGAGTCATACCATTTAGAGATTAGGAATTCCAAAGGTAAGGACTCCTAATCCCCAAGGACACTTTAAACTAAAAATGAAATATAATGTCCAGAATAGGTAACTACAAGTAGAGCTTGCCTACAGCTAGAGAAGTTGGGGGATAAATAGGGAGTGGCGACTAATGGGTCCAGGATATCTTTCTTAGGGTAATGGAAATGTTCTAAAATTAATTGTCATGATGGTTGCACAACTTTTGCCTAAGAACCATCATTGAATCATTAAGTTGGTGAATTGTATGATATGTAAATTATATCTCAAAGCAGTTTCAAAAATTAGGTCTCAACCTGCAGTCTAGGAGGGGTAAGAGATTTTTCAGAATTGGGAACAGAAATGGGAAAGGCACAGAAAAAAAGACTGAGAACTAAAAAGACAATGGTCAGAGGACTTTGTAACCTATAAAACAGTACCCAAATGCAAGTCGTTAATTTTGTTAAATTCAATATATTGATTTTTGCACATATGCTCTTCCCCTTCCTCAGAAAGATAATAGTCATACAAGGGCCCTTAAATTTTAG